AGTAAAATATCAAAAGAGGGAACTCTTGGAGTTCACAGTGCATATTTTGAGCCTCTCATGGTTTCTGTAGCTGGGCAAGCAACCAGCAAGAATTTTTAAAACAGCATCAGATCGGGAGCGAGGAGCATGGTGCCAGGATAACGTGGTTGACAAGTGCTAGCTCCCGTTTCCCACAGAATCTGGCCCTTCTCTTGTCTTCTGGGTTCTGGGAAAGCCATCATGGGCTTCTCAGTGTCTCCAGGCAAGCAAGCAGGTGAACCTGAAGCAGGTAGGGTCGATGAAAGCAAACACTCAGACCCACAAGCATGCTCTCACAACCTCCAACATCCTCACACCCCATCTACATGAGCAGCAGACCTCCCGGTCACCCCAAATTGTCCCTGACACTCGAGGTTCTTTTTTTGGAGGACCACACACAGTAGTGCTTAGGGATTATTCCTGGCTTTGTGCTCATGGGTCTCTCCTGGCAGCACTCAGAGGACCATATGCAGTGCCAGGGATTGACCTGGGGTCTGCCATGTGCAAGACAAATTCCTTACTGGCTACCCTGTATCTCTCGCATTTGGGATTCTTGAACCAGTGGATATTCCCCCACCCCCAAATTCATCCTATTGTTCTGGCTCTGGGCGTCTTTTAGACTCATGGTATGAAACTTGAAGACTCGTCTGGAAGGCTAGCAGCACCTGCCGTCCACCCCACAGTCATTCTGAGTGTGATTCAGGGTGACAGGCACCATCCCAGTGGTGGTGATCATCCTGTCTGGGTGTCACTTTATAGTAATAGTTCTCACTGGGGTGCCGTCGATTCTTGGGGTGGGCAAGTCTCTGTCCTGTCTACTGCAGGTCTTCTGGCCATTGTGGTGCAACCCGCCAAGTCTTAGCGATCACTTCTAATCATTACCAGGACCAAGAAACTATTGTCAGTGGGGGGTGGGGGGGGTTGGAGGGCAGTACCAACCTCAACCTGGGGGAGGGGTTAGTATGTGCAACCTTCAGAGGTGGGGAGGTAGTCCTGTCATCTTTGGTTTCTAGAGGCAGTATATGGGGGACAATATCTACCACTTTCTATGGGAAAGGTAGCCACTGCCTTCAGCCTGGAGGGTATTACTAGTGGGCAGTACCACCTTCAGGTTGCAGTACCATTCTTTGCCTTGTGGGGGCAGTATGTACCATCTCTGGGGGTGCAGTACCTCTCTCAATCTCTGGGGGCAGTATGTTCTACCTTCAGGGTGCAGTACCACCAGTAGTCTCTGGGGGCAGTATATGCCACTTTCAGGGATACAGTACCACCTTTAACCTCCTTTTGAGGTGGGGGTGGGATGGGACAGTACCACCTTCAGCATAGAAAAGTAGTACTACCTCAGCCTGTGGGAGACAGAATACAGCTAGTTTGGTTTATTTTTTGGTTTGGTTAGTTTTTTTTAAATTAATTTTTATTTGAGACACTGTGATTTACGAAACTGTCAATGGCAGGGTTTCATGTACACAGAGTTCCAACACCACGCCTGTCACTAGTATGTACATTCCCCTTCTCCATTCCCCCACCTCTTATCAGCCCAGTCTCAAAAGTTTCTGCTCCCCCCTTCCACCAATTTGTTTTTAAAAGTTTTTTTTTTGAGTCACACCCGATGAGGCTTGGGTTGCTCCCAGTTCTTCACTCAGAAATTATTCTTGGTGGTGCTCAGGGGGCGATATAGGTTGCCGGGAAGTGAACCCCAGTCAGGCATGTGAAAGGCAAGGCTTTACTGGGTGTTTTATCTCTAGCCCCATAACACCCCCCGCACACACACACAGTTTTGGGCCCTGAATCCTCTACCCCATGCTCTGAAGCATTTCTCCTTCAAGAATCATGAGTGCCCAGTACCCAGTTTGATTAGTGCCAAATTCATGACAGAACTTCAGTAAATACCTGCGGAATGAGTGCGTGAGGTCTGTAAGCAAGTTACAGAAGGATCTGTGAGCCACAGAAAGTGGTATGCAAATGTGTTTGTTGGTGTGTGTGTGTATTGTAAGCCTAGTACATGTATTCGGGAACAAGAGTCCAACAAATTCCCCCATCAATACCCACTGTCCTAATGTTGGGATCATGGCATGCATGTGTTTGTGGGCTGAGTTTGCTTTGTGCTGATATTCTGACATCTCTGCTGAAGGAAATGTCCTGAAAACTCCCGGGAGACGCTGCCCCACAAGAATTCTCACAAAATCCTGTCACGCAACAGCTTCACTCCACCCTTTAACAAAAACTGACTTTCTCCCAGGCACTCTGGATCACTCAGGAAAAGTTGGGTAGGACTTCCAAATGAAGACCAAAGGCATGGGCCACATCTCTCTACTTCCCAGAAGCCAGAGCGAGGGCACACAGCAGGGTAGCAGGGGCTGAGCTGAACAAATGAGCCATCACGACTTGCTCCCTTCTGGAGAGTTTGAGTGTGATGATTTGTTTGCGAGGTAGAGGGTAACACAGTCAACTTCTCAAGGCAGGATAAACAGCTGGGCCAGGGTGGTTGCTGGTTCCAGACCCATCAGCAGATCTGTGAGACATGCAGTTCTCACTTGACCAGACTCTGTGTGCCACCCTCATCATAGAAGGCACAGTATACTGTGTGTACCACAAAGGGTACAATACCATCCCCAGCCTGTAAGGGCAGTGTGTACCACTATCAGGGGTGCAGTACCTCCCCCAGCCTGTGAGGGCAGTGTGTACCACTATCAGGGGTGCAGTACGCCCCTTCAGCTTGGTTGCAAGGAGCCTCTTTTCAATGGCATCTCAGGCAGGACTGTGGGATTTGGAATACAGGGAGTGCGCCCCAGTGGGCTGCATGCAAGGCAACTGCCCTACCCGCTGTACCATCACTCCGGCCCCTGGATTTTCCTATTCCAGGAAGAGAGGTGACAGATTCTACAAGGACATTTGGTCAAAGGAGAGGACAAAATTGAAGACTGGGAGTCCCCAGCTATGAGATCATCTCTAATGCACCAAAGCCTTTGCCAAGAAGCCTCTGTTCTCATTCCCCACCAACCCACCCCCCCCCCCCCCCAGGGATCATTTCTATTTGAGGAAATATCCAGCTTGTAGACTACATCAGTCACGAGCTGGGATAAATCCCTCTGGACAAGATGGAAACTTGGAGAACTCCCTGATTGGCTGGAGCATAGTCTCAAACTTGAGAGAGCCTTGGGAATGATCTGAGAGACTTACTAACCCCCAGGCTCCCTCCAGGAGCCTATTCAGTGGGACCTCTTGCTGGTGGTGCATTTCTGACAAGGCCCTGTTGAGGCTGCAGGTGCCAGTCTAGCCACTGTGCTCTGGGTACCAACGTCCCCCACCTGGAATTTTCAAACGGTGCTCCAAGGCGCCCCCTGGCGAAAAGAAGGATTACCAACACAGATGAATGGGGTTCAGTACTACCTGCACCCCTGATGCCTCCTGATCTGTGACAGATTTGGCTTCTGGGATTAAAGGAAGGAATTGGGAGAACTACTGGCCTGTCTAGGGGATGCTCCCGGCAAGCAGATACCTAGGTCATGAAGCAACCTCTGCTGGTGACCCAAGGATGTTAGAAGAAACTGTCTCCCAGAGCACCTGCCACTTGGCCAGCATCCAGGGCAGCTGCCCAGTTTTACACGGGCCCCTGTTGCCAGATATGTAGAACAACCATGGTCTCATTCTGGCTGCTTGCAACTGGAGGGGCTTTTCTGCACGTCCTGGCCACTGGATGTGCCCAGTGTCCACCTACTTCCTGGAACCCCAGTTCACTCTACACTATCTTGGTTTCTTTGCCCATAACACAGAAATAAAGATCCTCAGGCACACGTGTCCATGGAAGCTGCTTGTGCTGCAGCTGGGCTGGCGTGAAGCCTTCTGGAAATGGTGGTCCGGGCAGCCCTGTCAGCACTTGCGATGTGAGCGAGGCTCTGTGGTAACAGAGGACCACGCACAGGGCAGCTGGACCCAGACATGTCTCCTTACAGGTCTGGGGTGTTGGAGGTGCCCCATTTCTCTGGGGGAAACTCATCCCGTCCTTTCTCTGGGCTTCTGCAGGCTGACCTGTGATGATGCATATGCACATCTCTGCCGGGACCTTCCTCTTGGAGACCCCAGCAGATTGGACCAGGCCCCCATGCTGGCCTGAGGCCTCGGCCCCACCTGCCCACAGAGGCCAATACGCACCTCCAAAGCAGGCCCCAGTCAGTCAGGACAGAGAAGGCACCACTGTGGTGATGGGTGATGATAGCTGGAAATGGTCACTCTGGACAAGAGCTGAGTGCGGAAAAGTGGTAAAGGGACAAACATGAGAACCCCTCAGTACCTGTGTTGCTGACCATAATGCCCAAATGGAGAGAGAGAGAAAGAGAAAGAAAGAGAGAAAGAAGAAGAGAGAAGTGCCTGATACAGAGACAGGCTGGGTGGGTGGGGGTATCGGGAGAGAAATCCGGGGCATAGGTAATGGGAAATGTACACTGGTAAAAGGATGGGTGTTGGAACATTGTGTGACTGAAACAGGATCATGAACAACTTTGTAACTGTGTGGGAGGGAGAAGGAGAGAGAGAGAAGGAGAGAGAGAGAGAGAGAGAGAGAGAGAGAGAGAGAGAGAGAGAGAGAGAGAGAGAGAGAGAGAGAGAGAAGAGAGAGAGAGAGAAGAAAAGTGAAAAAGTGCTTGCCACAGAGGTAGGTTATGGGGTGGGAGAGGGGTGGTGGCAGGAGGGAAACTGAGGACATTGGTGGTGGGAAATGTACACTGGTAAAGGGACGAGTGTTGAAACACTGTAGGACTGAAACCGGATCATGAATAACTTTGTAACTGTGTATCTCACGTAAAAATAAATAAATAAGGACTTGAGGCATACCCAGAAAAAAATAAATCAGGCCCCAACCACAGGGGCCCAGGGTTGGACTGGGAAGGTTTCATTTTGGGGGTTCCCACAATGCCGCCAGGCGTGGGACACGGGGTCTGCAATTTCCCGGGACTCGGCTCAGCTGCCCTGCCGGTGTGTTACAGGGTGCTCCGACCTCCACCTCCTGGACATGCTGACACCCACCGAGCGGAAGCGGCAGGGCTACATCCACGAGCTCATCGTCACTGAGGAGAACTATGTCAACGACCTTCAGCTCGTCACGGAGGTAGCAGCTGGCAAGGGTGCGGGCCGGGGCAGGGCGGGGGTGGGCTTGGGGGCGCCCCCCAGCCAGAGCCCGGGAGGCCGTGGGGAGCCTCACCCCGAGAGAAGGTCCAAGGGACAGCGGGGTCCTGGCAGGAGACACCTGCGGAGCCGCAGACCTGAGGTCCCAACGTGCAGGCACCCTGGCACGGGGCGCAGTTGCCAGCATCCCTGACCCCGTGGTGGTGTCTGGCCATGCACACAAGGGGGTCCTGATGCTCTGACTTCCTGGAGCCACCCCAGAGTCCTGGGACGTGTGTTCCCACAGGGAGCCCGGGAAGGGGCTGTCTCGGCCCTGTCTCCGGAGGACAGGCGGGCACAGCTGGCCACGTCCTCCTCCTTCACACACAGGATCAGGAGTTTCCGGGATGGGCAGCTGAAATGCCTGTGCTCCTTTGGCACCATCCCCTGCGCCTCCCCACAACCGGTTCCCCCTCCCCCTGGGGGTGGGGTGAACCCAGCCTGCAGGAAGGGAGCTGGCCCCGGCTGCCTGCCCAGTGCCCCTTGCTCAGTACCCTGGACGAGGGTGCTGTGGACGGCGGTGCAACCCGCTCAGAACTGGCCCCTTTGTGCGAGCTGTATGCCGAGTTCCGTGTGGGCTTCAGGTTCACAGGGAGAGGGGCTCCCCTATTGCACCCCCCCCCCAACTGGGCACTGGCCTCAGCCAGGGCCCCTTCATTCCAAACACAGTCCTCTTGAAAGAACCTTTCAGAATCTTCACTTTCTGCAGGAACTAGGAAGGAGTGGGTTCTCCGGCGGGAGATCTCTGCATTGCCTACCCTCACAAAGCTTGGACCTGGAACCGAGAAGCAGGGTCCCAGCCCCCCAACCCCTCATCCCCCACCCCCACCACACACACAGTCTTCCAGGTTGGCAGGGTTGACCCCACCCTGCCCGAATGGGTTACCAAGCCTGCTTGCTGGAGGCCCTGCTGTCTGGGGCACCCCCAGCCCCAAGCAGCCCCCACCCCAAGCAGCCCCTTTCTCTTTTTTTCAGAGAAGAAAGTGCCGGTGTCACTTTAAATATCCTCTACCCCCCTCCCACTCTCCCCAGCTCGGTGGCAGGAAGTAGGTGCAGGCTGGTGGGGGCGGGGTTGACCCCTCTTCTGCAGGGGTCAGCTGGGCTCCCTAGGGACACAGCACCCATCCTTCTATAGACCACCCCCCACCCTGTTAGAGGGGGCTGTGCTCCTGCAGGAAGGGGGTGCGCCCAGCTTCTGGGTCTCCCGGCCAAGCTGCCCCCCCACCTGATTGGGCGGGCGGGCAGGCGGGGTATCCCTCCAGGTCGGCTCTGAACAGCCCTGCGGCGGGTGCATGCGTGTGTTTGAGTGGGACGCTAATGTGTCTGCTTTCTGAACCGCTTCCGTTTTCTGCATCTGTAGATCTTTCAGAAACCCCTGATGGATTCTGAGCTGCTGACAGAGAAAGAGGGTGCTATGATTTTTGTTAACTGGAAGGAGCTGATTATGTGTAATATCAAACTACTGAAGTAAGCCTCTCTCCTCTAACCCCGCCTGGCTTCGCGGCTGGGTACTCACACACTAGCCGGCTCTCCCCACCTCGCATGCTGCTCGGCCCCATCCCGCTCTGCCTCTTCTGCTCGTGGCCACGTCAGCAAGCACCAAACTGCTCTTTCTCCGCCCTGCCTGATGCTTTCCTGCAAACACACAGCCCTGGGCCCCTGTGATTTCCCCCCCACCCACCCCGTTTCTCCTCACGGAAACCATTGTAGGGTGTCTGGGGTCCTGCTTTCCCCTGGTTCTGGAAGTCCCCGGGCTCCTGGCTGCCCGAGACTGCATCCTGGCCCTTGGATCCAGGTTTCCGGCCTGTTGGGGAAGTGAATGCTGGGATCGCCCCGCAGAAGGGAATGGGAGGCTGATCTCCGTAGTTCCAAGGGGGTGTCGCTCCCAGAAGCTTCTGGCAGTTGCTTATAACGGGGCTTGTCCCAGTTGTAGCTTGCTGAGGCAGCTGATGACTGGAGAGAATGCAGGAGGCCCAGAGACTTGAGCTGGACGCCCAGCCAGCCCCCGGCCTCCCTCTCGGAGCTCCATCTTCTCCTCTGGCAAAATGAAAGACATGGGTCAGATCCTCTGAAAGGGTCCTGTGCATCCTCCACCCAAGGCTGCTTTTGTTTTGTTTTGTTTTGTTTTGTTTTGTTTTGTTTGGGGCCCACACCCTGCTGTGCTCAGGACTCACTACGGGCTCTGTCTGTCCTTCAAGGATCACTCCTGGAGGGGCTCAGGGGAACCACTCGGGGTGCTGGGGATGGAACCCTGCGTAGCCCAGCCACTGTGTCATCGCTCTAGTCTCTCCTTCCCGGTTCTTAAACAAAGAGCCGCACAAAACACACAGAGGTGTCCGCCTGACCCTCACAGGGGTCAGTTCCTGCTGGAGGACTCACAGAGCAAATGACAGCCTCCAGCATCCAGCCAGGAGATTCTCCCCTGAGATCCCTGTGTCCACACCTCCTGATCTCTGCTTTCATGCGTGGGGATGACCATGAGGCGTGTTGACGATGGGGGCCATTCAGGTTCCACTTTCCAGAGAGAGTCGGGGAGTGGACGAAGAGATGTCTGGGAGTGGGGGGAATATATATATATATATATATATATATTTATTTATATGTATATGTGTATATACAATATATATTTACACACCACACACAATATTTCTTCTCTCTATTCTCTGCAAGACAAATAACAAAAGCCAACTTCAGGGATAGTGAGATGGTGTTTCCATTACCCTCCACAAGGGGCACATTCTAGAAGCTTCTGAGCATAGGAGGGGCATCAGACTCTTGGCTGTGTCTGAGCAGGTCCTTGAGACCCCCTGGACCTCGTGTCCTCTCCAGTAGGTAGGACGGTAAGAATATGGCCAGAGATAGGTGGCCTTAGGGGGTAGCTAGATGGCAAACCAAGCGCTTCATGCAAGTGAATGCCGGGGTGGTTCTCCGGGACCCTCGAAACCAGACCAAGCCCGGCCTTAGAGCAAGGGGCAAAGGGCGGGGGGAGCCCCTCCACCAACACCTGCTGAGTCCCAGGTGCTGGAGCGGGTGATGAGTCAGAGGAATGAGCCCAGGTTTAGGTGATCTCACCCAGGAGCGCAGTAGAAGGGCATCGGATGGATCCAAAAATGAAATTAATTCAGTGGGCCCGACCCAGGGGTGGGGAGAAAGTAGGAGAAGGTGGATGGGGTGCAAGGGGGTGGTGGGTATGACTTTTTTAAATGTATTTTTGTTTTCTTGGGGGAAAGATAGAAATAGGACCCCAAGAAGGATTTAAACTTTTTCACCCAGGGCTGCAGTGTTAGTACAGTCGGTAGGGGGCTTGCCTTGCACACGGCTGACCTGGGTTCGATTCCCAGCATCCCATATGGTCCCCTGAGCACCGCCAGGAGTATTTCCTGAGTGCAAAGCCAGGAGTAACCCCTGTGCATTGCCAGGTGTGACCCAAAAAGAAAAAAATAAATAAACTTTTCCACCCAAATAAGTCACCTTAAATAATTGCTGGAGACAGTTTTTTTTTTTTTCAGGGTCTCTCAAGTCTTGTTGCCTGGGCAATAGAATGTTCCAGAAGGAGCACCTAATCCTGGTTTCAGACCTACCTTTTGGTTTAATGAGTTGAGTTTCCAAGAGTACCTGGCTGTGCTCGAGGGAACTTCTGCAGTGCCAAGCCTCCAGCCCCAGGTTGGCCCTGTGCAAGGCAAATGCCTTCACCCTGGTGCTCTCTCTCTGGCCCAGCTCTTTTTCTTTTTCTTTTTGGGTCACACCCAGCAATGCTCAAGGGTTACTCCTGGCTCTGCACTCAGGAATTACTCCTGGCGGTACTCAGGGGACCATATGGGATGCGAGGAGGAGGAGGAGGAGGAGGAGGAGGAGGAGGAGGAGGAGGAGGAGGAGGAGGAGGCCCTAGCAGGCTGGCAATGGGAGGTGTTTGCCCAAAGTGAGTAGTTACATGCCCGACCCTGATCTGGGGGCCCTGGGTGTCTTTGAACTTGGGGACTGAGGAGTCAGCTTCAGGATTTATGGAACACGTCGCTAAGGCATAAATAACAAAGTGTGGTGGGTAAGGTGCCTGCCTGGGTAACCAGGGTTTACCCCCAGCACCCCACGTGGCTCCCTGAGCACCACTAGGAGGGATGCCTGAGCACAGGGTCAGGAGTCACCCTGAGCACCGCCCCCTCCAACCTTGAGCCCAGTGTCAGTTCTTTCGGACTGTTCACTTAGTCTGCAGAAGCCTTCTAGAAGGTCAGGGAACTCGTTCATTCAACAAATCATCCATTTGGCACTCCTTAGCGTGTCCATTCATCAGCTGGCCATCAGTCACACACAAGGTCAGGGCCACAAAACTGTGCTTTATGTGAGATCGCAAATCATCTCATCAAAGGGGAGGGCAGTGAGTGCCGCCAGCAAGTCACGTGAGTCCCAGGTCTGGTGACACCATCCGTTCCAACCTATTCAAGCCCAGGTCTCTTGAGTCTTGCTGCCTGTGCCATGGAACATTCCAGAAGGAGCAGCTAATCCCGGTTTCAGACCTACCTTCTGGCTCAATGAGTTGGGCTTCCGAGGAAAGAGGTCAGAACCCAGGAACTGGTTAATTAATTAATTAATTTACATTTTTTGAAGTGAAAACAGGTTGTATTTGGAGGTCTTTAGGAAAGGGAAGGAGGGAGAGAGAGTCACACACTCAAGAGAGAATGTGGGCTTCTCCAGAGACGAAGAGAGCCCCCACACACATCCCAGCATCAGACATGAAAGCATAAAAGTACACATCTCAAGAGTGGAGATGCAGGCGACACAAGTGCTCGGGTACCACTTGTGCTCAGCCACATGGGCACAAGCAGCACATGGGCTCAGGCAGCATATGCACCACACGGACACTGGCTTGACTTCAAGACAGTGACCATCTGGGCCAGAGTGATAGGCCAGGGCTCCCTAGCCACCAACCCCAGTTGATCCCCGGCCCTACATACGGTCCCCAAACATTGCCAGGAGTGATCCCTGAGCACAGAGTCCAGAGTCAGCCCCTGAGCATCGCCATAGCCCTAAAGCCGTAGCCTAAAGCAAACTTTAGGGCTACCAAAGAAGACAGTGATTGTCTTCTTTCCCCCCTTCCCTTGCCCTTCCATCCTTTGGGAAAAGAGGTCATGGGGGTGCAGGGGAGGGGCGTGTTAGAGAGTTTGCACCGGTGCAGAAAGATGATTTTGGTCTTCGCAGGAAAACATTAAGCTGTTTTCCTCCACCGCACATTTGTATCCTGGTTATTCAGGGCTCAGGTTCCCTACGTTGGTGGTGACGTTGGTAGTGACATCACCCTTGGGCAGATTTCTGTGTGTGGGAAGTAGCCACTCTGTCCTCGCTCCATCATGCGAGCCCAGGGGCATGACTCAGGCTCCTGTGCCCTTGGCAGTGGTGCTCATTGGCGCCCCTCCCCACAAAACCATCTGCTTGAAGCGGAATCACTGACGGTGACCATATCATTCAGTGTTCCCCAAAGCTGCCACTGCCCTCGGAGCACAGGAATGATCCAGGGGGGCATAGGAACCTCCAGTGCAATTGGAGAGGGAGGTTCATTCTGTTCATTCACTTAAAAAAAGTTAGATATTAGAGTAGGGGGTTGTGCTGAATGATTTTCTCTTCTGCAAAGGCTCAGTCAGTTTGGAAACCTCTGACGTAGCTCACTGTCTCCAGAGTTTCCCTCCTTGTCTCCATCTGCCAGGTTCGACCATTATTTTCTTTGGTACAGAGTGTAAGAGAAGAAAATTAAGTCAGCCAACATTTTAAAAGTCTGATACTGATGCAGCAAACCTCTCTGGAATTTTAACTCCTCAAAGACTTCTAATTCCTCCAATTTATAACTGCTCCAGTTTTACCATGAAAGCAGTCGAGGAAATGCATAGTACCATCTTCCCCACCTTATATTTAAACTATGTATTAGAGCATTCCCCTATATCCATCCATTGTATCTGTCCATCTATCCATCATCCATTCATTCACTCATCCATTATCCGTCCATTAATCCATCTGTTTATCCACCCATCTATGCCTTCATCTACTTATTCAATCTTCATCCACCCATCCACTATCCACTGATCCATCAATCCATTCCATCTACCAATTCATTCACTCATCCATCATATGTCCATTAATACAGTTATCCTCCTCTCCACCTATGTATCCATCCATTCATCCAACATTCATCCATCCGTCTTCCCATCACATTTACTCAACCATCATCTATTCCACTAATCCATCTCTCTACTCACCTGCTAAGCATCCATCCACCTATACATATATGTACTCACCATCATCCATTTACCATATACACATCTATCCATCCATCCATGCTTCATCCACACATTTGTCTATCCACCCATCTACTCATTCATTCACTCATCCATGTCTACCATCCACCCACTCATCCTTGCACTCTCTCATCATCTACCCAAATATCAATCCACTTTCCCATCCACTTATCCATCATCTATCCATATATTCACTTACTCACCCATTTATTCACTTATCCATCATCTATCCATCATTCTGCCCACTCACCCACCCATCTATGCACCATCCATACAACTGTCATCTTTTCATTCATCCATCGTCCATCTCTGAACCATCCATAGACTACCCATCCCACCCATCCACCCACTCAATCTACCTATCTGTTATTTATCCACCTACCAGTTCACTCATTCATCCATTAATCCATCCATCCATCCAACCATCCACCTCTCATCCATCCATCCATCTATTAAACCATCCATCTCTAATCCATCCATCCACCATCCATTTCTCATCCATCCATCTACCATCCATCTCTCATCCATCTGTCCAACCATCCATCTCTCATCCATCCATCCATCCATCCACCATCTATCTCTCATTCATCCACCCATCCACCCATCCATCCATCCAACCATCCATCGCTCATCCATCCATCCAACCATCCATCTCTCATCCATCCATCCATCCAACCATCCATCTCTCATCCATCCATCCAACCATCCATCTCTCATCCATCCATCCATTAAACCATCCATATCTAATCCATCCATCCACCATCCATTTCTCATCCATCCATCTACCATCCATCTCTCATCCATCTGTCCAACCATCCATCTCTCATCCATCCATCCATCCACCATCTATCTCTCATTCATCCACCCATCCACCCATCCATCCATCCAACCATCCATCTCTCATCCATCCATCCATCCAACCATCCATCTCTCATCCATCCATCCAACCATCCATCTCTCATCCATCCATCCAACCATCCATTAAACCATCCATATCTAATCCATCCATCCACCATCCATTTCTCATCCATCCATCTACCATCCATCTCTCATCCATCTGTCCAACCATCCATCTCTCATCCATCCAACCATCCATCTCTCATCCATCCATCCATCCATCCATCCATCCATCCAAACATCCATCCAAACATCCATCCACTTACCCACCCATCTATCCACATCCATTTGTTCACCCCCCCTCCATCTACACATCCAGCCACACATCCATCTATCCATTCATCTATTCATCCACTCACCCAGACCTTCATCCATCTACTCACCCACCCATCCTCCCTCTCATCAAACCACCCACCCATCTCCCTACTCCATATGGACAGCACACATCTCACCCATTTCTTCACCCATCCATCCTCCACTCTCTGCATCGTGACCACCAGAGCAGGTGGCGCACTCATGACCCTGCCCCCCTGTTATCCTCCCCATGTCACAGTGCAGGGGTACACCATATCTAGATGCTGCCACCCGGAATTTGCCTGTTGCTGCTGGCAGCCTGGAACACATAGTTCTGGCTGTGTGAGCCTTCAGATTCCACCTGAACCCCTGGAACAAACAGAGCGTTGGCCTCCTGTGCTTGGCAGGACAGACTGTCTGCGTCCCTCAACCCGCAACATTCTAGTTTCAGAATCTGATAACCTGGCACAGCAGGCACAGTTAGGGTGCTGAGCTCACCCCATCATATCTACCTGCCTTTAGTCCACCACTGGGCTTGCCAAATACTCGCAGTTGAACCTGGCACCATAATTATGTCCTACTTGCTCCAAAAAGGAGTCCCCCACGCCCCTGAAAGCAGCAGCTCCTTTGAGGGATGTTGGCCCTGAGAGACCTGGGGGGGGGGGGTCGGAGTTCTTCCTTCCTTGGTCAGTTCCTTGGAGAATCCATCCAGCAGGACGTGGATGTGGGGCCCCACTCCTGCTTCCTGATGAAACAGTCCTGAGTTTCACCCTGAGAGACGATTTTTTTTGTTTTGTTGTTTTTGGTTTTTTGTGTTCTTTGGGGTTGTTTTGGTTGTTGTTGTTTTTGCTTTTTGGGTCACAGTCAGCTTTGCACAAGGATTACTCCTGGCTCTGCACTTAGGAATTATTCCTGGCAGTGCTCGGGGGGCCATATGGGATGCTGGGAATTGAACCCAGGTCAGCCGCGTGCAAGGGAAACATCCTACCCACTGTGCTATTGCTCCAGCCCCCCTGAGACACGTTTTATGTGCCGATTCACCCAGCCAAGATTCCTTTTTGAGTTTTGACTCCCCAGAGCCAGCAGGCTATGGCTGAGCCAGGGAAGCTGCTTTGTGGGTGGGGTGGGGGGTCCCCTCTATGGACCAACCTCCCCCCTGCCCTGTTCCCCCGGTAGCTCGGTAGGTTCTCTCCCCCCCCCTCCCCCCCGTGTCCCCAGACGTGAGCGTGGGGCTTTGGCCGGGCCGGCCAGCAGCTGAGGCCTCACATTTCCGTGCAGGGCGCTAAGGGTCCGCAAGAAGATGTCGGGGGAGAAGATGCCTGTGAAGATGATCGGGGATATCCTCACCGCCCAGCTGCCGCACATGCAGCCCTACATCCGCTTCTGCAGCTGCCAGCTCAACGGGGCCGCCCTCATTCAGCAGAAGACCGATGAGGCCCCCGACTTCAAGGAGTTTGTCAAGGTACCGCCCGCCGGGGCCCCAGCTGCAGGCCAGGGGTCCGGGGGCGCCTTCAGAGGCGCAAGGGAACCTCTCGCTCTCGCTCTTTCTCTCTCATACTCTCTCACTCTCCCTCACATTCTCTTTCTCTCTCTCTCATGCTCTGTCTCTCTCTCATATAGCCTCTCTCTCTCACATTCTCTATCTCCCTCATGCTCTCTCTCATGCTCTGTCTCTCTCTTACTTTCTCACATTCTCTCTCTCTCTCTCATGCTCTGTCTCTCTCTCTCTTGCTTCACATTCTCTCTCCATCTCTCTCATATTCTATCTCTGTCATGCTCTGTCTCTGTCATGCTCTGTCTCTCTCTCATGCTATCTTTCTCTCTCGCTCACTGTCCCCGTCTCTCTCTCATGCCCTGTCTCTCCCTGTCTCTCTGTCTCTCTCCCTGCCTCCCTCCTTCCCCTCCTTCCTTCCCTCTTTCTTTCTGTCTCTTTTTAGAAAAATTTTGGGCCACACCTGGCAGCGCTCAGGACTGACTCCTGACTCTGTGTTCAGGGATCACTCCTAGGGGGCTCCAGGGACTGCCAGGATCAAACCCACATGCAAGGCAAGTCCCTACCCGTTGTGCTCTTTCTCTGAACCCCTTTTTTCTTTGATTCTTTCCTTCCCTTTCTTCCTTCCACCTCCCCTCACCTCCATCTCTCATGTTTTTGGCCCTTATCTGGCAGTGCTCAGGCATTACTCCTTGCAGGCTCAGGACTATATGGGTTGCTGGGGATCGAACCGGGTTGACTACATGCAAGCAAGTGCCCTACCTGCTGTACTATTTCTCAGTCTCTCTCCCTCCCTCCCTCCCTCATTCCTCTCTCGTGCTCTCTTCCTTTTCCCTTCCCTCCTTCCCTCCTTCCTTCCTTCCTTCCTTCCCTCCTTCCCTCCTTCCTTCCTTCCTTCCTTGTTCCTCCCTCCCTCCCTCCCTTCCTTCCTTTCTTTCTTCCTTCCTTCCTTGTCCCTCCCTCCCTCCCTTTCTTCCTTCCTCCCTCCCTCCCTCCCTTCCTCCCTCCCTCCCTTCCTCCCTCCCTTCTTCCTTCCTTCCTTCCTTCCTTCCTTCCTTCCTTCCTTCCCTCCCTCCCTTCCTCCCTCCCTTCTTCCTTCCTCCCTCCCTCCCTTCCTTCCTTTCTTCCTTCCTTCCTTGTCCCTCCCTCCCTCCCTTTCTTCCTTCCTCCCTCCCTCCCTCCCTCCCTCCCTTCCTCCCTCCCTTCTTCCTTCCTTCCTTCCTTCCTTCCTTCCTTCCTTCCTTCCTTCCTTCTTTTCTTCCTTCCTTGTTCCTCCCTCCCTCCCTCCCTTCCTTCCTTTCTTTCTTCCTTCCTTCCTTCTCCCTCCCTCCCTCCCTCCCTCCCTCCCTCCCTTTCTTCCTTCCTTCCTTCCTCCCTCCCTCCCTCCCTCCCTCCCTCCCTCCCTCCCTTCCTCCCTCCCTTCTTCCTTCCTTCCTTCCTTCCTTCCTTCCTTCCTTCCTTCCTTCCTTTCTTCCTTCCTTGTTCCTCCCTCCCTCCCTCCCTTCCTTCCTTTCTTTCTTCCTTCCTTCCTTCTCCCTCCCTCCCTCCCTCCCTCCCTTCCTTCCTTCCTTCCTTCCTTCCTTCCTTCCTTCCTTCCTTCCTTCCTCCTTTCTCTGTCTCTCTGTCTCTCTCCCTCCCGTCTCTCTCCCTCTCCCTTTCTTCCTGGCTGTGCTCAGGGCATACTCCTGGAGGGGTCAGGGCACCATATGGGGTACTGAGGAATCAAACCTGACCCTGGCATACCCCTGAGGGGAGAGGGCTTGCTGATACAGGCCAGGGGGGTCCCGACTGTGTGTAGTGGGCACTGATGTCATGGCTTCCCATGATTCCAGCTAAGGGCTGGGTCCTCCTGAGCTCAGCCAGGATGGGTTCATGATCACTGTGGCCCTTGAACTTCAGGAAACTGCTGACATCAGCCCAGGGCCAGGTGCTGACTATAAGAATGTTTGCGGTAAATGCAAGAGTCTCAGAGGGTGTTAGCCCAGACTTATATGCTTGGCTTTAGGGATTAACCATTGTCTCTTAGTCTTCATGATCCTCTGATCCTCGGGTAAGGACCTAGGATCTTGGGGAATCATTAATTTCTCCCGGATCAGAAAGATCACTAAGTAAATGATGGTTGGAGGGCTCTCTCAGGATGGGAGATGTGTGCTGAAAGTAGACTATGAACCAAACATGATGGCCACTTAGCAACTGTACTGCAAACCATAACACCGAGGAGAGAGAGAGAGAGAGAGGGGGGGGGGGAGGGGGGAGGAGGGGAGAGAGAGAGTAAGAGGGAATGTGCCTGCCACAGAGGGAGAGAGGGGAAAGGGTGGGCGTGGTGGGAGGGATCCTGGGAACATTGGTGATGGAGAATGGGCACGGGTGGAGGGATGGGTACTCGATCATTGTATGACCAAAACATAATCATGCAAGTTTGTAAGTCTATAACTGTATCTCACGGTGATTCATTAAAATAAAACATTTTTTTTTTAAAAAGAAAAGAAAAAAAAAGAAAGAACCCAGGCATTCTCTGGTTTCGCGTCTGGGCTGTGTGCCTCCTGGGTCTGGTCTGAATTGTGTGCAGGTGGGGCGGGCCTGATTGTCAGCCTGGAACTTGCTCTGGGGTGTGGCTGCATGCCTCCTTACACCTGGACCCTTTCCTTTCAGAGACTCGCCATGGACCCCCGCTGCAAAGGCATGCCGCTCTCCAGCTTCATCCTGAAGCCCATGCAGCGCGTCACCAGATACCCCCTCATCATCAAGAACGTGAGTACCACGCACCTGTGGCCCCAGTGAACGTGCCGAGCACATGTGGCGCCCTCATCTTCCCTCTTTGAGGAGTGTGCTTTTGATGCCGGTGGCCCCCACAGGTGGCTTATGTGAGACGGAGAGGAGACCAGAGACCGTCATTTTCTCCCAATTCACCTCTGCCTCCTGGGACCCAGGGTTACCGGCTTCTTGTCTCACCTCACAGAAAAGAATTCCAGGAGTAGATGAGCAGTGAAGTAAGACAGATTTTATTTGAAGGTTTTTTTGTTTTTGTTTTGTTTTGTTTTGTTTTGTTTTGTTTTTGAGTCACACCCAGCAATGCACAGCTGTGTTGCACTCAGGAATTACTCCTGGCAGAGCTTAGGGATCATATGGGATGCTGGGAATTGAACCTGGGTCGGTTGAGTGCAAGGCAAATGGCTTCCCCGCTGTACTATTGCTCCAGCCCTATTTGGAGGTTTTTGAAAAGGAGGAGGGAAAGAAAAGTGGGAGAGAGGGAGAGGGAGAGAGAGAGAGACACACACACAGAGAGAGAGAGACAGAGAGACAGAGAGACAGAGAAAGTAACATGCCCAAAGGAGAGTGTGGGCTTCTCTAAAGAGAAGCCTGGAGTGGCCTTTAAGACAGACTTTTATGTGCATATTCTCAGGGTTGCCTTAGTCCGAGTTTACTGCCAGAGGTGGAGGTTCCATCAAGTATTGTCACAAAAAAACCCAAACAGCTTCCAAGTTTCTGGTGAATCTCCTTCAAGTCTTTGCTTGCAGCTCCTGTCTCTGCCAAAGTCTGTCCCTTCGGTAGGGGTCTGGCCTTCTCTAGGTCTGTTACTGGTGCCAGGTGAGGCCTCAGTTCCTGTTTTCCTGCAAAGTTGGCTTTTTGCAACTTCGGGGCTATTGATGTTATTATTTCCCAGGAAATTCACTGCCTTCGCCTTGGGAGGGGGCTTCCCTATCGACCTACCTGCCGACATCACTTTCCTGCTTCCATTTCTAATGCTGGGGGTGTGTAGGAGCTCTTTCCACCTTTGCAGAAGCCCACCTTCTCTCTCTTGAAAAGCGGAAACTGCTATGAAAGGGGTAAAAAACAAACACGAGTTCCCCAAGCCCACAGAATAAGTTGTCGCAGCAATGGGAGCCAGCGGCAGTCTGCCTGGACCTGGCCTCTGGTTTTGCAGTATGACGAGAGCCAAAACAATCTCCAATGTTTGCTAGATGTTTTTACCTCCTTATAATAGCAGAGAGCACAGCGGGTAGGGCGTTTGCCTTGCACGCAGCCAGCATGGCCGACCCGAGTTCGATTCCTCCGCCCCTCTCGGAGAGCCTGGCAAGCTAACGAGAGTATTCGATATGCCAGACACAGTAACAACAAAGTCTCCAATGGAGACGTTACTGGGCCCGCTCGAGCAAATTGATGATCAACGGGAGGGCCTTTACTTTACTTTTACTTTATAATAGCAGAGAGGGCCAATAAATCTGATGCTTGATTTGAAATAAATAAATAATAAAATTTAAAACGTGAGCACCGGTCCCCAGAGATAGACAGACAGACAGACAGACAGACAGTGGCTGGGCAGTCACCCAGCCGGGCCCCAACCACACATCCCTCTGCAGCCCTGGAGGCACCCCAGCACCCCTGGGTGTCACGGAGTCCCCTTGCAGGGCCATCAGCATCGCGCCACCCTGGGGCCCCAGCACCACTGAACCACCTGCCTGGCCGGCTGAGAATCACTGGGGTCGGGGTGGGGTGCTGGGACCTCCTGGACCCCTCATGGGGAGGAAACCCCACCACATCCGTGCCCAGGAGAGAGGGCAGAGGCTGGAGCACCCACTGGGTCTGGGCAAGGCTGCGAATTCTGTCCTGGTACTGCATGCCCTGAGCACTGTCATGGGGTCCTGGTGCCCCCCAAGGTTCCCTGGACGTGAGCCACAAACACCTCGCAATGGGGTTGACCCAATGGGGCTGGCCGGCCACGTGTTGCCACGAGTCCTCAGGAGTCTCCCTCTAAGTGCCTGCCGAGGCTTCTTGGGTGGGGTCTGCTTCTTCCACATTCGGGGGGGGTCTCCTTCCTCCATGTTTGGGGGGCTGCTTCCTCCATGTTCAGGTGTCTGCTTCCCCCACAGTCAGGGGTCAGGGTGGGGCCCCTCTGGAGTGTTGTCCCACAGTCCACCACATGTCAGTTGTCAAAACGGAGTAAGTGGCTGAGGGTCCCTGGAGCTGCACTCAGTGACTCAGCCAGAAACATCAGGGGCCCAGAGAATGGGGCCTGGAACACACCGCTCCCAGTGTGGCAGGCTCAGGCAGCCGGGCCAGCCCAGTGCCCTGTTGCCTGCTGTGCTTCGTCCCCAGTCATCCCCAGCCCTAGTCCTCCCTAATTTGATCTGGTTCCACAGAACTGACCATGTGGTCCCTCCTTTGGTGTGTTTTTTATGTTTTTGTTTTTTTTCTTTTCGGGTCACAATCGGTGATGCACGGAGTTACTCCTGGCTCTGCACTCAGGAATCACTCCTGGCGGTGCTCGAGGGACCATATGGGATGCTGGGAATCGGACCCGGGTCGGCCGCATGCGAGGCAAATGCCCTACCCGCTGTGCTATTGCTCTAGTCCTCCTTTGGTGTTTTTTGCTCCCTTTTGGAGAGAAGCCTGGTTCTCATTAGCTTCCAGGGAGGGTTGCTTTCCCTTGGGGGGACATGCCTGGCGGTGCATGGAGGCTATTCCCTGTTTGCTTGGGGGGATGTCACAGTGTTGGGGGGTATGTGGTGCTGGGATAGAACCCGGGGCTCCCAAGTGCAGAGCCTGCCCACCAGGCCCTAGATGTCTCCTTGCTTGCTCGCTCTCCTGCAGTGGAACAAATCTCTTTCCATGGAAACCGTCTCTTCTTTCATCTCTCACTGGATGGGCTCCCCAAAATGCTGTGGCCACATTGGCTAAGTTATTTTATTTTGGGGGTTACTCTTGGGTACTTGGAGGACCATAAGGGATGTTGAGTATTAAATCTGGGTAGGCCGTGGGCAAGGCAAATGCCCTCCCCTCTGTACTAACTCTCGCACATTGGCTGAGTTAAACCATTCTCTTGGAAAGAAAGCTTTTACTATTGCTTCTGCCTCACTAGCTCACTAGGTAACACCCCCTCTTGTTACCTCTTCCAGTATTTCATTGCAAAGTGAACTTGGAAATAGGCTTTCAGTCTTAAATTCAGTCTTCTGGATTTAGTCAATGGGAACAAAAACAAGAATGGAGAGGAGAGGCAAAACGGTCTTAAAGGAAATCAGCAAAATTTCCACTTTGTGGCAGCATGAACACTGCCCTCCAGAGTCCTCAAGAGAAAAATGTGACAGCGCTGCAGAGAAGATAGACCTTTGGGCGGGGGAAGGGGAATACAGGGGGGAGGGATTGGGCCACATTCACTGTTGTTCAAGGTTGTAGGCTGGATCTGCTCAGGGGTCACTACTGCCAGGCTCAGGGAAATTGATGGGATGCTGGGATCACACCCAGGTGGGCTTCGTACAAAGTCAGTGCCCTACCCACTGCACTATCTCTCCGGCCCCATCTTTCTCTTTCCCCTTCTTTCTGGTCCAGGAACGGTGACTGTCTCTATGTTCCACAGTTTCCGGGTTCCCCAATATTTTCAAGGGTGAAAATATTGAATAATTAAGATGCACCAAGCTAGAAAATGGAACAGTTGATTGGGAAGTAAGTAGAAGAGAAGGAAACTCCCCAGCAGGAGAGAAACATAGTCTAGGATTAAGTTAAATATGGCTCATTTTTGCGGGTTTTTCTAGGAAAGCTGGGTCGTTGTGATGCTTATTAAACAAAATCTCCAAGGATTCCCGTTTGTTTCCCAGAGATGTCTTATTAATTTAGGGCCCCTTGGTGTTGCCGAGATAGGAATAACATCTTTTTCCCACTAGGGCTGGTGGGACTGTCTGTTTATTAAACCTCTTAGGTTCTGTATTTCACTGAATGTAAAGCTAGATGTCCCCCATCTCTTAGTCTCCTATGAGCCCAAGGTCTGGGGCAGAATTTATGGTCTTGGGAAAGTGCAAAGTATCCCAGTCTCAGAGAGAGTCTGGAATCTGCAGCAGTGTATAGAATTAAGTCAGCAAAAATGGAACCACATGCAGTGGTCGGCAAGGGCAAAACTTGAGGCTTCCTCTTTCACTTCCTTTTTTTTTAGTTTGGGTCACACCTGGCGATGCTCAGGGGTTTTTCCTCGCTCTGCACTCAGGAGTCACACCTGGTGGTGCTCAGGAGACCATTTGGGATGCTGGGAATCAAACATGGGTTGGCCACGTGCGAGGCAAATGCCCTACCCATTAAACTATTGCTCCAACCCCTCACTTCTCTTCTTCTCTTCTCTTCTCTTCTCTTCTCTTCTCTTCTCTTCTCTTCTCTTCTCTTCTCTTCTCTTCTCTTCTCTTCTCTTCTCTTCCTCTCTTTTCTTTCTTTCTTTCTTTCTTTCTTTCTTTCTTTTTCTTTCCCTCCCTCCCTCCCTCCCTCCCTCCCTCCCTCCCTCCCTTCCTTCCTTCCTTCCCTCCCTCCCTCCCTCCCTCCCTCCCTCCTTTCTTTCTTTCTTTCTTTCTTTCTTTCTTTCTTTCTTTCTTTCTTTCTTTCTTTCTTTCTTCTTTCTGGTCATGGGCCACACCCAGCCGTGTTCTCCAGGACTGTATGGGACGCCAGGGATTGAACCTGGGTTGGCTGCATGCAAGGCAAACAACTTTGCCAGCTGTACTGTCCCTCTGGTCCTCTTCCCTACTTCTTAAGCCTCTGTCCTCGCTATGTAGATTCTCGAGAACACCCTGGAGAACCACCCTGACCACAGCCACCTGAAGCATGCCCTGGAGAAGGCCGAAGAGCTGTGCTCCCAGGTGAACGAGGGAGTGCGGGAGAAGGAGAACTCGGACCGGCTGGAGTGGATCCAGGCGCACGTGCAGTGTGAAGGCCTGTCGGAGGTGGGCACTGTCCAGGTGGGGCTCCCCGGCTGGGCCTTGTCAACCAGCTGGAGGAGGAAGACCGCAGACCTCCCTTCTCTCCGACCTGCAGTTGGCCCATTCTCCCTTCAGCAGCATCTAACTTTGATGTTTGGTTCAGCCTCTGAGTTTCCTATCCCAACGACTTTCTTTCCCATTTCCTCTGTGTGTGTGTGTGTGTGTGTGTGTGTGTGTGTGTGTGTGTGTGTGTTTGGGCCACACCTCTCAGTGCTCAGGGCTTATTCCTGCTCTGCGCTCAGGGATCACTCCTGGTGGGGGTCAGATGACTATATGAAGTGCTGGGGATTGAAGCCTGGTCAACTGTGTGCATGGCCCAACACGCTGTACTATTGCTTCAGCCCCCTAAAAGAAATATTTTTTGTGGGGGGAGGCACAAACCTGGCAGTGCTCAAGGCTTACTCCTGGCTCTACATTCAGGGATGACTCCTGGCTAGGCTTGGGGGCCTGTATGGAGAGTCAGGGATCAAACCCAGGTCAGCCGTGCGTATAGCAGGCGCCTTCCCCATTGGGCCCTCCTTTCTTCATTTCTATCATTTTGCTCAGATCTGCTGCTTTCTTGGCCTATTCCTTGCCCAGGTGCCTGTGCCTCTTGCATACTCCCCACCACATCCTAAAGCACATCCCTGTCCCCCGTGCGAGAGGTCCTTCGCGCGGCCTGAGCGTTGTGGCCCTGCAGTTCCAGTTGCTTGGCCACCCACACCCCCTGCCATCAGAGCCATGCCAGTGGTAGCAGGAAGCTGCTTCCTGCCCCTTGAGTACCAGGCAATTCCCTGGTGCAATCCCCAATGTTGAGGGCAAATCTTTGCAATTCATGTTCAGTTCTATTTGAAAGTAAACTCTGAGAACTTAAACCAAAAAACCAACCAAACAAAAAAAGGCTGGAGAAATAGCACAGCGGATAGGGCATTTGCCTTGCAGGCAGCCGACCCAAGTTCGATTCCCAGTATCCCATATGGTCCCCTGAGCACTGCCAGGAGTAATTCCTGAGTGCAGAGCCAGGAGTAGCCCCTGAGCATTGCCAGGAGTGACCCAAAAAGCAAAAAAATTAAAATAAAATAAAGCACATCCCTGTCATGCTGGTGCCTTCTGATACCTGCAGTCCTGGGCCTTACTCTCTTGTCTGTTGCTCCTGCCAGCTCTCATCCCAATACCTGGATTCCCTGTCAGCCTGTGATTTGGGGTTGTGAGTTTAGTATTTTTTGAGAACTCCCTGAGAGGATGGCTCCCAGGGTTGCCCTGAAGTAAATTCAGAGGAGCCTTGGGGATCACCTAGTTGTGTGGTTTGGGGTTTTAAAGTTGTGTGATCACTTGATCACTTGACATCCTGTTACTCATCGATTTGCTCAAGCGGGCTCCAGTAACATCTCCATTTGTCCCTGTCGTGTGCTAGTATAGCCCAATGGCATCTGCTCATTCTAGGAACAAGAAGAGCCTCAAACCGATCGTTCAGGGTTTTACAAAGAAGTCTGACCAACTTATAGGTAGGCGGCCACACGATCTTTTGACGTTCCATGGAATCCAGTCTGTAATGGTTCTAGTCCAGCAGTCATCTCCAAATCTCATTACGTGTCCAGCCCATGTGATTTTCAACACTTTGGCAAATGAGACAGCATCCCTAATTCATTCTTTCTTTCTTTCTTTCTTTCTTTCTTTCTTTCTTTCTTTCTTTCTTTCTTCCTTTCTTTCTTCCTTCCTTCCTTTCTTTCTTTCTTTCTTTCTCTTTCTTCCTTTCTTTCTTTCTTTCTTTCTTGAATTACTTTGGGAAGTTACAAAGCTTTCAGGTTTAAGTCTCGGTCATGCAATCATCAAACACAGTTCCCTTCACCAGTACTTATTTTTCACCACCAAGAACCCCAATATATCCCTCTCCCAACCCTCCCAATGCCCATGAAGCAGATGAATTCTAGTTAACACTCTATCTACTTTGATTAGATTCATTGTTTCGACAAAAGATGCACCATTATTATTTATATCCCTAATTCTTGATCATTGACGGAGGTCGGAACTCCTGATTCTTTCTCTCATTTGAGTGAAGCATGATACTCTAACCATAGCTCTTTCGATTCCTCTTTGGGAGACCCAAATAGCGTTCTCATCCTGTTTTCATAGGGCCCAGGTCTCTGAGGCCTATGTTAATGCAGGAAGAACAGTGGAATCAAAGAGATGTGCCCGGAGCCAGAGGTTCTTAGACCTCTTAGCTATTTCTTCGGTGCTCTTGAAGGCGTTCCAAACCGCTCTCTTCCTCCTGCACAACTCAGGTGCCAGGTCATTTGTCATGTTGACTTCTTGACCTAGGTACACATAACTGTTGCATTCGGAGATGTTCATTCCATTGAGAGCGAATGGAGTGTCAGGAACGAGACTGTTTCTCATAAACAATGTCTACATGAGATTCAGCCGTAGTCCAATGTTTCCACACTCATGGTCGAAGTCGGCCAGCATTTGTGCCACTTGGCTAATGTTTGGTGTTATAAGAACGATGTTATCAGTGAAGCGGAGGTGGTGTAGTTGTGTGAGTAATGGAATACTAAGCAGCCATCACACACACAGCTGGCCACAATGCCTGGTAATCACTCATGGCTTTGGGATCACAGATCTCAGAGCTGCCAGGCTCCATCAGCAGGACTTCCAGGATTGTGTGCATTTGAGTGGCACTGGGGTTTGGACCCCCGACCTCACATCTGCAGGTCACCGAGTCTGAGTCACTGAGGTCTCTTGCCAGGCTTCACTGTGCCTTTTTTGGTTTTGTTTGTTTGTTTGTTTTTGCTTTTTGGGTCACACCCAGCGATGCTTAGGGGTTACTCCTCCTGACTCTGCACCCAGAAATTACTCCCGGTGGTACTTGGGGGATCATATGGGATGCCAGGGATTGAGCTTGGGTCGGCTGCATGCAAGGCAAATACTCTACTCTCTGTGCTATCTCTCCAGCCCTTTACTGCGGTTTTGAGGTGCATTTCCTTAGCAGTTGGTGACGAGGCACGCATTCTTCCCATGTCTGCTGGCATCCAGACAGCCCATCTTCATCAGGGTAGAGAGAGCTGGGCCTTTTCTTTCTCCTGCTTTAGCTGCAAATAAGAGGGAGAAGAACACTGATCACCCACAGACCCTGGGGAAAAGTATTAGGGATTGTACTGAGGTGTAGCTCAGAGAACCATGCCCTGGGCTGTTTTGACCCGAGTTTGGAATCCTCCCAGCAGTCCTGCATTGAGCCTAGGAGGCCGCCCACTGGGGCCCAGCTTTGGATTTTGATGTCTGTTTTCAGCACCCCCTCACCCCTGAAAAGCAAACTGATAGATTTGAGAATGCTGACTGGTGCGGACAGAGGGGCAGAGACCAAGTGCAGGAATAGAAGTTTATTCACTCTTCTAGGTGGACACTTAGATGGGCCCTGGAGAAGCTGGGAGACTAAGGGGGATTTTAAGTTGTCTTGAGTGGGAAAAGGGAATGAGGACCAGTGGAACCGGTGGGTTTGGTCCGACCTTCTTTTGTCTGTGTGAGGAAGCAAGGAATGTGGGCTAGTTGCAGGTGGTCCAAAAGTCTGTGCTGGGGGCAGGATGATATCTGATTCCAAGGATGCTGCTCCCTCATCAGCAGGTTGCCAATTGGTCAGAACCAATCTTCCACAAACCAGCCCCTCCCCCATGACCCATGACCATGACCCATGACCCATGACCCATGACCCATGACCCACAACCTCCCTTCATCGTGTCTTCTCTGGGTTTTGTTTTCCTTTCTCAGCAACTTGTGTTCAATTCAGTGACCAACTGCTTGGGGCCTCGCAAGTTCCTGCACAGTGGCAAGCTCTACAAGGCCAAGAGCAACAAGGAGCTCTACGGCTTCCTCTTCAACGACTTCCTGCTGCTCACACAGATCATCAAGCCGCTGGGCTCCTCAGGCACCGACAAGGTCTTCAGCCCCAAGTCCAACCTGCAGTACAAAATGTACAAGACGGTACGTTCGCTTGGGCACCGGGGACCAGTGTGGGGAGGGTGGGAGGGAAGGGGAGGGGAGTGGAGGGGAGGGGAGGGGAGAGGGAGGAAGGCGGGGGCGAGGGCAGGGAAGGAGTCAAACTCTGGGCATGGTCTGGGGGTTGTGGCCAAGAGGACACAGTGTAGACGGGGTACAGGGTGGGTGCTGAGCCAGGATTAGGGTCACGCAGGCAAACACCCACCGGACCCCCCATACCCAGCAAGAGCAGAAAAGGAATGGGGTGCACCTGACTAGACAAACATTGAGGGGGTGCCGAGTGATTTCTCTACTGGCCCCCATGATCTCTGGGAGGTGAAGGCATGCTTGGAATTGAATGCGGGGGGTCCCTGATCTTCTAAACAGAGGAAGTGGGCATGGGAAAGAGCTGGAGCCGGGAGCACCAGTGCCCACTTCCCCAACACCCCAGATCCTCACCCCCACCCCCAAGCCCCCAAGGCCACTAGAAACATTCCCCCCCCACCAGAGGACCCAAAGCCTGGGCATGGGTGTTGGCGGGGTCCTTCCACAGGCTGCTCTCCCTGCTGTTTGGGGATCTTCCCATCGGGGGATCTTGCTGTTCTAAATCCATCCCCGTGGGGGCGTTTGCGCCGAGCTCTCTGCAGCTGTCTCAGCCTTATTTTGGGTCTGGTCAGCAGCAGGGTGTCTCCCACTCTCTGGAGGCTGCAGCCTACAGGGAGAGTTGGAGACAGCTGAGGTGAGGACTCCCTCTGGGAAAATGACCGGCCAGCTCTGAAGGAGCGAAGGGGGCTTGCTTGGAAAGTGCAGCAGGTGGGAGTTGGTATCGCCAGTGCAAATCCTGCCTCTGTAGATGACTGAGACACACACATCTGCTTAACATGGTGAGCTGGGAAACACACACACACACACACACACACCCTTCTGCATGATGAACAGTCTCATACATACACACACACACACCCCTCTGCATGATGAACAAGCTCACACACACACACACACACACACACCCTTCTGCATGATGAACAGGTTCATACACACACACACACACCCCTGTGCATGATGAACAGTCTCATACATACACACACACACGCCCGCACACCCCTCTGCATGATGAACAAGCTCACACACACACATACACACACACCCTTCTGCATGAACAGGCTCATACACACACACACACACACACATACACACACACACACAGAGCAGGATTTTCTGGAACGTGTGCCCTTCTCCTACACGTGCTCAGAATTTTCCGGATTGCAGATGCCCCATCTGGTGTGTAACCAAGAGCCAAATTTGTGGTTTTCCAGCCCATTTTCCTCAATGAGGTTCTGGTGAAACTCCCCACCGACCCCTCCGGCGACGAGCCCATCTTCCACATCTCACACATAGACCGGGTCTACACGCTGCGGGCAGAGAGCATCAACGAAAGGTGAGGTGCCTCCCGTGCTGCCATGGGCCACCCGGCTTCTGCCAGGGGTAGGCACACGCAGTCTGTGGCACGGGGTAGGGATGTGGCTGCAGCACCAGCATCTCAGGCTACAGGAGGGGGATGTCACCCAAACACTTTTGTTTTCTAGAACTTTCTCCTAGGATTGACTCATGGCATACACAAACGCACACACACACACATGCGCGCACACACACGCATACACATATACATATATATTATTATTTTTCCCCCAAAATGAACCATACTGGGGCCAAAGAGATATAACAGCAGGGAGGGCACTTGCCTTGCAGGAGGCTGACCCAGGGTCTCTCTTCACCACCCCACATGGTTCTCTGAGCCCACCAGGAGTGATTCCTGAGTGCAGAGCCAGAAGTAAGCCCTGAGACCACTGGGTGTGCCACTTCCCCCACCCCTATCCAATCTCTCTTTCTTCCTTCCTTTCTTTCTTCCTTCCTTCCTTTCTTTCTTTCTTTCTTTCTTTCTTTCTTTCTTTCTTTTTCTTCCTTCCTTCCTTCCTTCCTTTCTTTCTTTCTTTCTTTCTTTCTTTCTTTTCCTTACTTCCTCCTTTCTTCCTCCTTTTTTCTTTCTTCCTTCTTTTTTCTTTCTTTCTCCTTCCTTCCTTCCTTCCTTCCTTCCTTCCTTCCTTCCTTCCTTCCTTCCCTCCCTCCCTCCCTCCCTCCCTCCCTCCCTCCCTCACCTTCCTCACCTTCCTTCCTTCCTTCCTTCCTTCCTTCCTTCCTTCCTGCCTGCCTGCCTGCCTGCCTGCCTGCCTTCCTGCCTTCCTGCCTTCCTGCCTTTCCTTCTTTCTTTCTTTATGCCTCTTGGGTCACACCCAGACCCTATGGGATGCTGGAGATGGAACTGGGGTCAGCAATGTGCAAGGCAAATGACCTATCCAGGGTGTTCAGGATGACCCCTGGCTCTGTGACCCCTATCAGTGCTCAGGGAACCATATTGGGTGCCAGGGATGGAACCAGGGTTGTTAGGATTCAAGACAAATGCCCTACCCTCTGCCCTATCATTCTGGCCCTCACACCTTCTTACTTAATGGCAACGGCCAGTATTGAGGGGCTTGCGGCCAAAAGCCAGCTCTCCCTCGCTCTGTTGCAAAAGTCTTACTGATTCGCTGACCAGTATCCCCAGCTCGGCCTCACAGCAAGCCTGGAGGACCCAGGCCTGAGCTCTGTTTGGCCCCTTCTGTCTCTTCCCCTCCCAGGACTGCCTGGGTGCAGAAAATCAAAGCTGCTTCCGAACTCTACATAGAGACGGAGAAAAAGAAGCGGGAAAAGGCGTACCTGGGTAATGCCGGGCTGCCGGAAGTGCCTCTCCTACAGAGGCCCGGGTGGGGGGGGGGGCGGAGAGTGGTGGCTGTGGGTGGGGGGGAGGCTCAGTCCTTCTCAAGGGAGATGTGCTGGAGGGGGGGGGGTGGCCTGAGTGGGGTGGAGGGGGCCATCGGACAGGGCTATGGACTCAGAGGACGGGGAGATGATGCCGGGGCAGGGAGCAGGAAACAACGAAGAAGGAGAAAAAGAAGACGAAGAGGGTGTCTGGCCCTCCACAGGGGGTCCGGGCCCTCCGGGTGCTCAGGAGGTGGCCAGTGAGTGGGGAGGCTGCAGACTTCAACACGCAGAACTTGTGCTTCCTCCCTTCTCCTCTTAGTTCGCTCCCAGAGGGCCACAGGCATCGGGAGGCTGATGGTGAACGTGGTGGAGGGGATCGAGCTGAAGCCCTGTCGCTCTCATGGTAAGGACCCCCACTCATCTTTCCTGCATACCCCACTGTAGTTTTACCTACATGTCATGCTGGGCTCGAACCGGGCTCCTCACACACGCAGAGCCTGTGCTCCAGCCCTTTGAACCATCTCCCCGGTCCTCCACACACCCATTGCGTTTGACTATATGCTGATGTTATTTTATTTTTGGTTTGGGGGCCACTTCTGTTGGTGCCCAGGGCTAAGCTCTGTTTCTGCACCTAAGGGCTCCTCTTGAGGAGCTCAGGAGATCATACGGGGTGCTGTGGATTGAACCGGGGTTGGCTTATGTGAGGCAAGTGCCCTGCCCACTGTACTGTCTCCCTGGCCCCAATGTACCCCCACTTCAAATCCAATGTGTTTGTCCTACCTTTCCCACCAGGAGTCAGTTTTGTTTTTTGAGCATTTGTTAAAAATCCAGAGCCTTTTCTCCCACCTCATCCCCAAATCCTGTCCAATATGTTGCTTTTAAAAAAAGATCTGGGAGGTCAGGAGCCCAGTGTGGGCCTCATTCAGCTAATGGTGGGAGTGTCCACAGAGGGGGACACCTCAAGGGAGGGGGAAGGTGGCTCCCTGGGGCCCTGACCCCACTCAGCATGGCCCCTTCTGTTCTCCCCAGGGAAGAGCAACCCATACTGCGAGGTGACCATGGGCTCACAGTGCCACATCACCAAGACCATCCAGGACACCCTGAACCCCAAGTGGAACTCCAACTGTCAGTTCTTCATCAGAGACCTGGAACAGGAAGTCCTGTGCATCACCGTGTTTGAGAGGGACCAGTTCTCGCCTGATGGTGAGCCCCCCCAACATTCACGCACACACATGCCTGCACACAGACACAATTCAGACACATGCATGCACAATGCAGACACTTGCATGTGCACACATGTACACACGTGCACTAGCACACGTGCACACACTCACATACACATATATATGCACACACAATGCAGACACATGCTTGTATACACATGTACACACATGCATTCATTCACATTCACATACTCACTTGCACATATGCATGCACACACAATGCAGACACAGGCATGTGCACACATGTACATGCATGTGCACTCACACACATGCACACACTCTATGTATGCACACACAATGCAGACATATACATGTACATACATGCATTCACATGCACATACTCACTTGCATATATGTATGCACACATGCACAATGCAAAACAAGCATATGCACACATGTACATGCATGTGCACTCATATACATGTGCACACTCACACATACACATGTACACACATGCACAATGCAGAACACATGCATGTGCTCACACGTACACACACGTGCACTCACATACATGCACACACTCACATGCACACATGCATGCACGCATGCACATGTGTAAGTACTCACATGCACATAACTCGTACGCACATATGCATGCGTGCACTCACGCATGCACATACACTCACACATATTCATGCACACATGCACACACACATGCATGCATTCGTGCATACACTTACACATGCATTCACACGCTCACACACATGCATGTACTTCCTTCTTCCTTCCCTGACATTTGGCTCCCATGCAAATGGTTGCTCCCCAGGAACTTGGCCCCCACTTTTCTCTGGGCTCCCCTCCAGAGTGTGGAGACTGGCCCAGAGGAGATTCTTCCCCCAGAGAAGGGGTCTTGCCTCATGCCGAGGCATCTTTGAGAGGAAGACACACCTGAGATGCAGATGCCCCTGGACTAAGAGCAAGCTCTGGGCTTTCCCCAGTGGCAGAGGGTAGCTAGGATGAGGGTCAGCCTATTCCACCCCAGCAGTGCAAGAGAAACAGGTAAACTCCAGTCTCAGCTCAGGCGGTTAGTGCTCGGCCCAAAGCCTGAAGGTAACAGACCCTTGCAGGCCACCAGGTAAGAGGACCTTGGCTGAGTTGATGAGACTCTGGGCTGAGCAAAGGAATGAGAATTGTGGGTTTAGCAAAGGGATGAGAATTGGGGGCTCCATCAGGCCTCAAGCAGCTCTTTGTTTCTGCTGTGAGCCTGGAAGAGAAGGGGCCACTCTTCCAAGGGGCCGTCTCTCTCCCTCACCCCAGGCAGAAAACAGGAGATGTCTGAAGATGGGCTGGAGAGAGTCCACAAAGGGCTGCAGCATGAGCTTTGTGTGTTGGAGGTCCAGGTTGGATCCTAGAACCTGCATCGTCCCCTGAGTACTGCCAGGAGCTGTCCCTGAGTCTGTCTCAGCTTTAGTCACTGGAACATAATTAAGAACTCGGAGGGGCCAGATTAGTAGCACAGGGGGTAGGGCTTGTGCCTTGCACGTGGCTGACCCGGATCCAATCCCCGGCATCCCATATGGTCCCCCGAGCACCACCAGGAGTAACCCCTGAGCATCTCTGGGTGTGACCCCCACCAAAAGAAGAACTAACTAGGAATCAAGGTCTAATGGCAGCTTATTCTATGTGTGACCTCAGTCACTCCACACAACTTCCTTCTCTGGATACTTTTATATGAATCACCCCCATTATGAGTTAGGTACTGTTCGTTACCGACAAAAGAAAAGCCTTATAAAGAGAGGTCTGAAGTGGGAGTTTTTGGGTGGTTTGTTGAGACACACTTGGAGGTACTGAGGCTTTACTCCTGTCCCTGTGCTCAGGAATCATTCCTGGTGTTGCACAGGGATGGAATTTTTACTTTTCCTTTCAAAGTTTTTTTTGTTTGTTTCTATAAATAATGGGAATCAATAAATAAAAAGATGCAAGCTCTGGGCGCCTCTTTCACCCTATGCATCTTTCATCACAACCTTCAGCACCTTCACACACACACATTCACCTCAGCACTTTCATAACACATTCACCTCAGAACCTTCTACACATAATAACCTCAGCACCTTTTCTCACACACTCACTTCAGCACCTTCTCACCCACATTCACCTCAGCATCTTTTCACACACATTCACCTCAGCACCTTTCTCACCTCAGCACCTTCTCACTCATTCACCTAAGCACCTTCTCACCTCACACATTCACCTCAGCACCTTCTCACACACATTCATCTCAGCACCTTCTCACTCATTCACCTCAGCATCTTTTCACACACATTCACCTCAGCACCTTTCTCACCTCAGCACCTTCTCACTCATTCACCTCAGCACCTTCTCACCTCACACATTCACCTCAGCACCTTCTCACACTTTCACCTCAGTACTTTCTCACCTCAGCATCTTTTCACACACATTCACCTCAGCACCTTTCTCACCTCAGCACCTTCTCACTCATTCACCTCAGCACCTTCTCACCTCACACATTCACCTCAGCACCTTCTCACACTTTCACCTCAGTACCTTCTCATCTCAGCATCTTTTCACACACATTCACCTCAGCACCTTCTCACACACATTTATCTCAGCACCTTCTCACCTCAGCACCTTCTCACACACATATTCCCCTCAGTACTTTCTCACGCTCATATTCCCTTGAACATCTTTTCACACAAATTCATCTCAGTACCTTCATACACAAAATCATGTCGGTCCCTTCTCATACACATTTCCTTTAGCACCATCTCACACATTTCCCTCCATCCTTAAGCTTACACCCTGATACTGAGGCTGTTCTGGGAGCCCCAAGCTTCCACCCACCTGCATCCCCACTTGCAAGCTTCTCACCTTCTGGTACACACAGTGGGGCCCTAGCTCACCCACACTAGATAGGCATCTCACATCACCAGCACACTCCTGTGACAGGTCCTTGGAGAAGTGAACATCCAGTCTCCCTCCTGCAACAATTGTCTTTCTTCTGAACCATTTCCATTCATTTCACTCACTTGTGTTGCAAATTGTGCGTGGCCAATCCCAGCTGGCTCTTGCACAACCTCCTGGCAAGCTTAGAGCCCTTTGAGGTTCCCAGGTACCAGATGAGTCATGATCTGCATTTTTTTGGTTTGTTTTTGGGCCACACCCAGGAATTACTCCTGACTCTGCACTCAGGAATCAGTCCTGGCAGTGCTTGAGGGACCATATTGGGTGCCAGAAATCAAACCTGGTTGGCCATGTGCAAGGCAAGCACCCTACTCACTGTACTATCTCTCTAGCCCCAACATGACCTACATTTATTTTATTATTAAGGGTTTTTTTTTGGCGGGGTCCAACTCAGCAGTGCTCAAGCCTTACTTCTGACTCTGCACACAGGCATCATTTCTGGTGATGCTCGGGAATCGAATCCAGGTGGCCTGTGTGCAAACTCAGTGCCTTACCTGCAGTACTAGCTCACTGACCCCATTGGTTCACATTTTTAAAAAATTATTTATTTAAAAATTTTTTTTTAGTGAATCACTGTGAGGTACAGTTACAGACTTACAAACTTTCGTGCTTACGTTTCAGTCATATAGTGATCGAGTACCCATCCCTCCACCGGTGCCCATTCTCCACCACCAGTGATCCTAGTATTCCTCCCCCCGTCCCCCCCACCTCTGTGGCAGGCGCATTCCTTTTACTCTCTCTCTCCTTTTGGGTGTTGTGGTTTGCAATACAGGTACTAAATGGCCATCATGCTTGGTCTACAGTCTACCTTCAGCACACATCTCCCATCCCAAGTGGGTCCTCCAAGCATCCTTTATTTGGTGGTCCCTTCTCTATCTGAGCTGCCTTTTCCCCCAGCATGTGAGGCCGGCTTCCAAGCCATGGAGCGGTCCTCCTGGTCCTTATCTCTACTAATTGATTCACATTTTAACTCTCTTTATGGGGTTCTATTTTGCCTGAGGTGCCCCCCTCCCCTACCTTTTCATTCCATTTTTAAAATGATGCTTTGGCAAGAGAGATGGTTTAGGATAGCACAGGACAGCAGCCTTGCATATAGCCTACCTGAGTTTCATTCCTGGCATCTTCCAGGGTCCTTGAGGCACACCAGGAAGAATCAGCATGACCACTGAGTCCCCCAGGCCCCAGACTGCCCCCTTGTCATCGTTGCTCCTGGGTACCTTCCGTGGTGGCATCCCCAGGTAGACCGAGCAGAACCATCCCCGGGAAGTGCCCCGGCCACCGGCACCTGCCTGAGCACGGCCTGTCTGTTCTGCTTTCAGATTTTTTGGGTCGCACGGAGATCCGCGTGGCTGACATCAAGCGGGACCAGGGTTCCAAGGGTCCGGTCACCAAGTGTCTCCTGCTGCACGAGGTCCCCACGGGCGAGATCGTGGTCCGCTTGGACCTGCAGCTCTTCGAGGAACCCTAGACAGCGCGGCCCCGGGCCGCCCTCCACTAGCTTCCGGCCCGGGCAGGGGGCACATCCAGAAAGGGGGATGGGTCTTCTCTGAACCCCGTTCCGTGTCCCACACACGGTGCAGGGGGACGGGCTCCGCCGAAGGCTTCTAGGACAGCTTCACGACAATCCTCTTCCCCGCCCCAGACGAGTCTGGCCCTTCATTCTCCCGAGACAGATCTGCTTCCCAGGGTCCCCCCACCCCCTCCCTTGCTGCTGCTCCTCCCGTGGCTTCAGGGGTGGGGTCGAGTGGGAGTGAGGCTTACCGGTCGGCTGCAGGCCTGGCTCTCTTTATGTAAAATAGATTTATAAATGTCGTGAAATTTTTTTTTTTTTTGGAGAACTCACGTTTCCCTTCGATTTCTTACCAGACCCCCTGGTCGGCCCCTGGCCTGTGCTGCCTTATGCGTGGCAGGGTGTGGAGGGTGTTTAGGAAACTCTAACCCCGGTGTCATCTTCACTACCCACCCCCCCATCATTTCCTTCCCCTACAGGAGCTTGGCTGTAGCCCCCGAGAGGCTGAGCTGGGCAGAGGCTCTCCTGGAGGGCCTCTCGGAGGAGGTATGTGTGGCTACGGTCATCCCAGAGCATGCTGTATCTTTTCCAGGGTGCTGTCGTTGAAACCCATTACTGATTCCCGCCTGGAGGGCTGGCAGGTGGCGAAGGAAATGTGTTCTCCACCCGGTTGCGCTCTGCTAGGGGCTGGTACCAGGTGGCAGGTGACCACTTGCCAGCTCCCAGTGTCCAGCACATCTGGTCAGCCCTCCTGGGCCTGAGACCCAGGGAACAGGTGCCTGACGAAGGTCACTGAGGGTGATGAGCTCTAAGCCTCTTGTTTGAGTGTGCCGAGTCCTGATTGTCCTGGTAACCCTAGCAGCTGTCCTTGGGGTGGCCCCCACCAGAGGGATCCCCCACGGTGTAGAAAGCAAAAGGTGACAATCTGGAGGCGGGTGGGGGTGCATCGCCCCATTGGGGATCTGGCCTTCTCCCCTGTACCTCTGCACTGCCCGCAGCCAACTTCTCAGTCCTGGAGCCCCAGCCATAGGCAGTCAGAGCTGGTCAAGTTGTTGGGTGGCAGTGGTCTGCCTTTGTGGCCGGGGAGGCGGGTTTCGTGGACCACCTCGCCACTGGCTAATGAGTGTGGGTTAACTTCGGGCTGCCTGGGAATGTTCTCACCCCATCAGTGTTCTGTGGTATGGATTGTGGTTTGCATGTTCTCATGGGTCAGCCCGTGTGCTCTGGACTTGACTCTGGGCTGCCAGGGGGGTGGGGTGGGGGACTCGCTGGGTGACCCGAGGAGGCTCTTGGCGGGGAACTGGCTGCCGAGAGTCCCTGTGCCCTGTCGAGATCCCCTGGCCTATTCTAATGCCCCAGTAAGACCCCCTGTCCTATTCTGGGCCACTTTTCGATTGTAAGAGTTGGAAAAGGGCGACCAAGTTTACAACATCAGACTTCAAAGAAAACACTTTATAATTTATTTATGGGAAATAGCATAGACTTTTGTATCCAGAGCCCCACATGTATTTTTCGGGAAACCAGCAAACTCTACCTTAGAGTGAGAAACCTTCAGCCTTTCTTGGCCGACTTGGACAGGCAACCTGGTGTCTTGCTTCCCCGGGGGGGAACACGGCTGTTAGCCTGGTCATGTCTATCTTTCAGTTTTATTTTATTATTATTATTATTTGAGCTTGTGAAGATGCTTTATAAGGCAAATTTATGAGTCTCTGTAGCGCTCATAGACACTCCTCCTTCTAGAACCCATGCAGTCACCCTGGGCACTGTGGCAGGACACTGACCTGGGGGGGGGGCTAGGAGCAAAAAGCGTGAATGTGGGGTCCTGTGGGGTCGCCTCTCCTTTCTTTCTGTTCTTTCCTTTTCCTGCTTTGGTTCTTGGTGCATGGTGCTCTGGGGCATGCTCACAGCTGCACACACCGGTGTCATTGGGTAAACCCTCACCCCATCACTCACAGAACCCCATTCTTGTCCTCCACATTGCACGAGAAAGCAATATGTCTCCTTGACCCAGTGACTAAACCGAGTGCTCCAGGAATGCCCCCACGGGGTAGTGATTCTGGGTCTGTGTCCTTGTCCCCGTGGGTGTTAACTTATGCCACGCCCCGTTGCATCAAGGAAAGAGATCAGCTTTGCTCTCTCTGCATCTAGCCTTGAGCTATGTGGGGGTGGAATGTCTGAATGCCCTCTGACCTCTCCTCCTTCATTTCCACCTTTGAGGCTGTCTGAGTGACATTTACAGAGATCAAATGTTCCTTTGCCAGGGCTGTAGAGATAGTATAAGGGGTAGGGTGCCTTGCAGGGCAGCTGACCCATTTCAATTCCTGGCACCTTCCCCGCTACAATTCCCTGAGCCTCAAAAGGAGTTGATCCTTGAGTCCTACCAGGTATTGCCCCCAAACAAACAAAAAGATGCCCCCTCATCAATAAGCAATCACCATCCCGCCTCTTGGCTTTGTAAGCCCTGGGTGGGGTTTTTCAGACCACTAGCATCCAGGTGTTGGGAGCCTGGGGCTCCTGACACCCCTCTGAGTTTCCCTCGTTTCTGAGCCATCCTCACCCCCTTCTCGCCCAGATGGGTCTCTGCTCAGGGGATGTGCCTTGAAGCCAGGAGCCCTGCAGCGGGGGCTGTGGGTCGACCAGCACTCCGTGGGCACCATGGGGTCTCGAGATGCCTACCCAGACAGCATCTGCTGGTCACACCTTGCTGGCCTGACATGACAAGAGGGCTGGGTAGGAGTAATGGACTCCTGCAGGTTGAGTAGCACCCAAGTTAAGTGGCGGGGTTGGGGGGATCCCCATCAGAAAACGGTTCATTGACCAGTTGCATTGGTCTTGGTGACCTTGTGCCGGAACTCTGGGTGCCTCTGGGTTGGGGGTGGAGATGGGGGCGCTGGATGCCCGAGCCACTGAGGACAGATGGCAGAGGGCCTTGCCCTCTGAGGCTGGATGGGTCACCGTGTCTCTGGGAAGTGGCTGGTGCCAGCCTGGAGCCCCCTACCTTACGGAGTATGGAGTAGGGGTGTTTCCAGATCCCACCTGGCTGGGGGTGGGGGACCTGAGGGCCTGGCTGAAGTGCTTTTGTTTTTCACGGAAAGACAGAGACCCTCAGTGACAAGATGAATCTGCCTCTTACTCCAAGGAGTTCTTAGCTCTCGGCTCGGTCATTTTTCATTAGAAGAAAGTGTGTTTTGTGTGTGCAGCCCTTTAAAAGAATATCCAGGGCCAGAAAGGGATTCTGTGGGTTAGAGTGTACGAGTGCATGCAGGACGCCTGGGATCACCCCTGGCACCACATGGTTCCCTGGAGCTTCATGGAGTCCTGAGAATCAGGCTGGCAGGGTGAGGGACCCTACATTCTGAGCTGGGAGTAGCCCCTGAGCAGGTCCAGGTGTGATCCCCAAATAAGACATGACAGAAATCACCTCTGTGGCAGACAACAATGATTTACTTTGTTTTATTTGTTATTGTTGTTTTTTGCCTTTCCTGGGTCACACCCAGCGATACTCCAGGCTTATTCCTAGCTCTGCACTCAGGAATCACTCCTGGCAGTGCTCAGGGGACCATATGGGATGCTGGGAATAGAACCTGGATTGCAAGGCAAATGCCCTCCCTGCTTTACTATCGCTCCCGCCCCCAGTGACTTACTTTGGGTTGGGTTTGCATTCGATGTTGTTTCAGACGCTTCCTTTGGGGGCTGCATGAGCTTGGCAGCATCTAGCTCAAGCTGACCAGTGTCTGGAGGGCAGCAGCGTAATCAGTAATTAAAGAGGCCGAGAGGCCGTGCAGCCTTCAGCTGCTGGGCTCTGAGCTGATTTGGAAGAAAAAAAAGAAACTAGCATCAGGTGCTGCTGAGGTTTCATCTCACGTCCAGAAGTAGCCCAGGTTGGCTGCCAAGATTCACCTGGCAGTACCCTGGGGCCGGCGGTGTGTGGAGGCTGAGGTGTGGTGTCGAGATGCTTGGAATGGCCATTGTCTCTGGCACTGGAGGAAAGTTTTAGCATCGTTGGTGTGGCTGACTCTGCTAGCCTGGGAGCTGTAAGGGCCTGACTCTGTTCCTGAGACGTAGGACACCTGCTTCATGGGCACCCCGCCCTGTCTCCTCTGGTCACTATCTTCCCATTGTTCATCGATTTGCTCGAGCGGGGCCAGTAACATTGTGAGACTTGTTACTGTATTTGGCATATCGAATACGTCACTGGTAGCTTGCCAGGCTTTGCCGTGCAGGCAAGATACTCTTGGTAGCTTGCAGGGCTCTCTGAGAGGGGCGGAGGAATTGAACTCAGGTTGGCCATGTCAGCCGCATGCAAGGCAAATGCCCTACCTGCTGTGATATCGCTCCAGCCCTCTGGTAGAAACTGGAATCCCAGGACCTGAAGTACCTGGAAGGCTTGTCTCTGGGGTGGTGGTGTCTAATGCATGCTGCCAGGCAGGGTTCATTGAGGGAGCCTCGGCCATGGTTCTGGGGCCTTCCGGGGTGGAGAGAGGAGGACCCACCTCTTCATGGCTTTCACAGCCTAATTGTAGGCCTAATGTTTTTAGTTATTCAATAACCCTCAGTGTCAAACACTCATCTCCCTGAGATGTGTCCAATCTCAAGCACTTCCTCTGTGAAACAGAGGCCTCTTGGGTCCAGAGAGATAGCCCAGGGCTGAAGGCATTTGCCTTTCACATGGATGACCCTGGTTAAGTCCCCTAAGCCCTGCCAGGAGCTATACCTGAGCACCAGAGCCAAGAGTAAGTCCTGAGCATTGCTGGGTGTGACCAGAAATCCCCCTTCAAAAAAGGGGGTCCCTGGATGCTGATTACACCCACGTCATAGAGTAGACTTTCCCCCAATATCCCGTATGGATGGTTGTCATATTTGGGGGTATCCTGCCCCCTCTTGTGTATCCGGATGTTTCCAGTGCTGTGTGTTGAAAGGATTCTATCCCACTTTCTAGACCAGCCTAGGTGGTTCCCATCACCTGGATAGCATAAATATTTTAGTATCCAAAGCCCACCAGGTAAAACTGTCCATACGTGGGTTCCACTGAAGACCAGAGAGGTTCTCTGCT